CTTTGGGTCCTTCACACCAGTGGAGGATGCGGACCATGAGGCGAGTTTCAGAATCTGTGTTCTGACCTGGTGGCCTCCTGGAGGGGATACAGACTGTGGGGCTTCTAGGAGTCCCCATGTGTGGCAGCACCTTTGTTCCAGGTAGTGAGGAGTGAGCAAAGGGCAGGAGCAGAGTAGACCCTCTTTCTGGAGGAGAGGGGTGCCAGGCCAGTTAGAGGGGTACACACCCTTGGCCGGTAACTGGAAGGTGGGCCTCGAGCGAAGGCTTCAGTGATTGCATATTTACCACTGGCCTGGGAGGAACTCCACCCTGACGTGGGGTTCCCTGAGCTGGGCCAGCTCCATGGCAGCTGTGGGGGGCAAGGGTGCAGGACCTCACCCCCAGGAAGGTGTGCTGCCCCTGACACGGACCGTCTCCCCAACTCTTGTGCAGGTCCAAGCTCTCTCGGAGGAGGTCTGCGCAGATGAGGGTCTGAGCGGAGCCCCCATGATGGCCTGCCCCCACCCCCACCCCCTCGTCTGTCCCATCACTGGCCTGCCCCTCCCCCGCCGGGGGTGCAGGTGGAGGCCCAGAGCCTGGTCCAGCGGCCCTTCCCGACCTTCCGTCACAGTTGACTCTGCCTGTTGTGGTTCCTGAGCTGCTCTGAGGAGGGAGAGCCAAGAAAGCGCGGAACCCCGGCAGGGGCGCGGCGGGTCTGCCCTTGTAATATTTTTCTAAGGATAGACAGACTTATAATTAATATATGGCTAGTTAGTGGCACTGGAGCAGTCCCCCCCAGAAAGTAACTCCTGTCAGTCTTGTATTTATGAGTATTTATTTCTGATACCTTCACTGACCTGGAAGATTCCGTGGACTGCCCTCCTGCACTCCATGTGTCCTCATCGTGTTCCTCTCCCAAGGGTAAGGACCGCAGAGAGGAGCAGGGGGGAGGCGGCCCAGGGCTTTCCCCTGCACCGTCCAGGGCCTGTGCGCTGGGTCTCCTGACACTGGGACAGACAGCCCAGTGGAAGAGTGTCTGAGTTCATCTGGACACGCTGGGCACGTAGCCAAGGGCACAGGGCAGATCCCCCTGGCTGGGGTGTAGGTGACAACAGTCACAGCAGGACTGGTCTTAGATGGCAGTCACAAAGTCCCTCAGAGGTGACTAGCGGCTGAGCCTCCGTGCTGAGCCCCCAGCTGGCCATCACAAGGATGGTGGCTGGGCTGGGAGGCAGGTGGCCAGGGCCTGTGATGTAGGCGAGGAGTGGGGTGACCAGGGCCAGGGGAGCTGGTCCCATGTGTTTATACCACAGTCCCCTTCTTTGCACCCCATGGGGAGGGAAAGTACTATCACCACATCTGTGAAGCAGAAGTGACAGAGGAAGACTCTGTCCTGGGGACCTCGGGGTCATGACCCTCCTACCAGAGGGCATCTTGGTGTGTGCTGCTAGGTAGCGGTGACAGCAGGGTGGGAGTTAAATTGAGTGACTTCCTGAGAGCCGCCTCCTCCACGACTTCCTGCAGAAAGAGTGTGGGGTGCAGGCCAGCCAGCCTGATCCCCAACCCTGCCCAGGTGTCTGAGGCCAGCCAACCTGCAGAGCACCTGCTGGCCAGGGCGGTACAGGCATCCAGTGGGTTTGTGGCTGCCAGCAGTGGAGCCCCAGACCCAGCTGGCCTGGTTGGGCCCAGCCTTCACCATGAGCTGGGGCACCTGAGGCCCACCATGGGGAGGCACCCTGCTAGCCAGAAGTCTGAAACTGGCCACTGGTGTGTCCATGCACACACTTGCTGGCGCTCTCCTGTGCTTGGGATCCGGGGTTCTGTGAGGGGCGGTCCTCTTGGCCCAGCTGGACGCTGTCCAGGCTCAGGCCACACTATAGGACGCGGTGGGCTCTCACCCACTGGGGGCCCTCTGTGAGGGGAGCTGCTGGTACAGTGATCTGCTAGGAGTGTAGGGTGTGTGATGGGGCTGTCCACACTGACTTCAGATGCCCACACAACTCACGGAGCCTCTCACATACGTACACACACACAGTTGTAGGCCCTGCAGTGACCACCCTCTCTCCTCGCCAGGGTCCCCTCTGCACCTCTGAGTGCAGGTCAGGGTCCCTGAATGTCAGGGCAAGTGCAGGGTTGGGGGGGGGGGTGGTAGCCCCTCCCCCAAGGCCTGGGCCATGGTCCTGTCCTCTGGGTCTCCTCTTTTCCATCCCTCGTTCCCCTGTAGCCCGATCCCCTTGTACATACGTGACGCCTGGCCCGCCTGTTCCGCACTGCCCCTGCCCACCCACCGTCCGCCCTTTTAGGTGTGGCCTGTCCTGTCTCTGTGCTCCTAGACTCTGTCCAGTGCAAAATAAACATGATCCTCCTGCAGCCCATGCCACTGTGTCGTCCAAGTGTCAGCGTGATCGTCGTGGGCACCCACCTGGGGACAGTGGTGGGGATGGAAGGTTTATTTAGGGCTTGTCCACCTGCCCCAGGAACACAGAGCTGCTCCTCTGAACCCCAGCTACAGGGTCTTCTGCTGTGCTGTGCAGGGCACCACGGCCCACTGCTGAGGTAGGGCTGGATGACACCCTGGGCACTGGACAGCCCCATCCTCACCCAGGGACACACACCATAGCCGGTGTCATTGGCTTCCTGGTCAGTGAAGATTCCCCTGGCCACGTCCACATCTGTCAGAGGAATGGTTTTCCTGCACAGACACAGCCCCTCTGAGAGCTGGGGAGGACCCCCATCCTGCTTGCTAAGTGCCACATGGGCAGCACTGCACCTGTGGACAGGCCAGTGAGGAGGACATGGCCCTGGGCTCAGGCTCAGAGGTTCCAGGGCCATGCTAGAGAAGGCCAGCAGTGGCCATGGGCCCAGGAATGGTGGTGTGGACGTTGGGCAAGGGGCTTTCTGGAGCTCCTTTCTAGGAGCCCCCAAAGAAGGCTCAGTCTTCAGACCTGTGGGTCTCAAGACGGCCTCCAGGTTGGCTGGAGGTGCTTTTAGGGGCACCTTGCTGGGACAGGTCAGGGCCCCATGAGGCTCAGCTGCAAGGTCTCCCACAGCCTCGGGGTCTGAGTCCCTTCACAGACTGCCATTTGGGGGAGACCTCAGGGCAGATGGCCGCTGAGCAGCACCTGACCCCACCTTATCCTCTTACCCACCTTAGTCCTGCCTCTACTCAGACCCCTTCTCCCAAAAGGAGGCCAAGGTCGTAGGGCCTTAGGGAGCGGCGACGCGCATTGGTCATGCAGCCCGTGGAGACACCCTGTGTGTTACCACCTGTGCTGGGCGGTGAGGGGCTCCTCCTGCTGGTCTCACCTTGTCTGGAAATAGGAAGAGGGGAGGAAGCAGAGAAACAACAATCAGGCCAGGGGGACACAACCCTGGGGCCAGAGCTAGCTGGTGCCCAGTGCCACTGCTGACCATTGTAAAGGGAACCACAGAAGAAGGTCCTGGGTACAGGGGCAGGGGGCGGAGCGGGATGTGGAACAAAACTCAAAAAGATTTTAAGAAACAGCCAAGCTTACTGGTCCAATAGGCTGGGTGGGGCTCCTGAGATTCTGGTCCAGGGCATCCTTTGAACCTGGAGCAAAACTCACCCCTGTGGTCAGCTCTCAGGCACCTGGACACCCATCTGTAGATGACGGGTCAGCTCTCACACATCCTGGACACCTGTCTGTAGGTGACCAGGGCTCAGCTCTCAGGTACCTGGACACCCATCTGTAGATGACAGGGAGTCAGCTCTCATGCACCCTGGACACTCGTCTGTAGGTGACCAGGGCTCAGCTCTCAGCCCCCATCTGTAGGTGACCAGGGAGCTCTAGCGATAAGAGAGCCACCTGCAATCCCAAAGATACGCAGTTCACATCTACCAGCTGCCCCACAGAAGAACAGAGGGCCCTTCCTCCCGTGTGATTACTGCCTCTGAAAACCCGCTGGACGGGTGGCTGTGAGTTGATGGCACATCACCACATAAGGTGACAAGGAGCTCCAGGGACGTCCTTGGGCCTTATAGACTATGGTGGGTCTAACTGCAGCATTCGCCCAAGGAAAACTGTGAAGGCAGGAGAAGCGGGAGGAGTTAGTGAAAACGACAGTCACAGGGTGGAAGTGGGAAGGGTGCTACAGTGTAGATGTTGTGTTCAATGCTCTAAAACAAAGCATGCAGGGACGCCTGAAGACCAATCTACTTGGTAAACTTTCAGATAAAAATCTTTTTTAAAAGCAGAATACCAACAACACTGAATGTTTTAAAAAGAAAAACTGTAGGGGAATGTGACCTTGGACTTTTGGATAATGCTGGAGTGAAGGAGCTGGGGGGCTCAGAAGAGGCCCGTCTGTGTTCTTGATCCAGAGGATGAGAAGGAGGAGCTTTGATCTCAGCAAGGAGCACGGTTAGAGGGTCAGCTGGTACCAACTATGTCACCCCAAGATGCCGAGTGCCTGGACGGCCCCACCATGCAACACACTATTCCTGGGAGTCCCTGCGGGCTCCATCCCTGCTCACCTGTCGGCGTGTCTTCCAGCCCAGCTCTCCTCCTGACTGGAGCAAACTGGTTCCTTTCTGGCTCTTCTAGGCTACTTCTCAGTAGAAATAGATGTCACGATGGCGGGTTTCGTATTTACCTCATGCAGCTATAGAAGAAATATTCCAACTGGGTGGCTCTGATAAACAGAAGCTTCTTGTCATACTTGAGGCCAGAGGTCCAAAGCGCTGGCTCAAGGTGTTGGGTCTGGAGAAAGGTCCTTTCAGTGGTTTATCGTCTTACTTGCTTTCAGCACCTGTTCTTTCAGACCAGCTACGCAGTGGTCACTCTGGTTTGGGGTGGAAGCCTCTTGGCCTTGGACTTGAGGCCCACTGGGACAGCTGTGTTCTTCTAATCCATCTCGGTAGTGACCCCACCTCTTCTGTTCTGATCTGCCCCTGGTGCACTGCAGCCCGGCTTGCTTGACTTTGAGCCCTCGCTCTGACTCTGTCCCCTGACACTATGAATGGTAGCTCCACACTCTAGCTGAGCTGGAGAAGGTCTGACTCTGAAACCCAGGAGGCCATAGTCCCATGCTGAGGAGATTCAGAGGCCAAGTCTCCCCTTTGGAACCCCAGAGGCCATGGCCTTATCCATTGAGGCCACGGTCTCCTTCCGTGTGCCTCGTCTCTGCAGCGTCTGATTTCTCTTGAGCTGGCTTAGCCTCAGCCCGGCTTCAGCAAGGGTTACGAAGCTCCTCAGCTGTGCCAGTGAGCGCCTGCGGGTGCCCTGCTCTGCCAGTAAGCCCAGACCCGGGGCAGTCAGCTCTCCTGCTCTGTGGATTCCTTCTAAACCACCTAATGCCCATCTCCTGGCTCTGTGGTGGCTGTTTCACGGTCACTGCTTCCCACTGTCTGCTGTCAGTGTGGCCACTGGCCTCCTCATATCCTCTGAACTCTCACCAGAACTGCTCTTGGCATCTGTTTCCTAGCCATGGTCTCTTCAAGTCAGGCAAGGTGTCGCTGCAGAGGCCCTGACTCCA